ACATATCACTCAATTTACATACATATGTACCGGCCTTTCTGAAAACTCCAAGTCCGTAGGTGATAACCTCAGGCACGCATGGCTAATCTTGAGACAACCAAACTCCACCGCACCGTCAGCCGCGGTGCAGCCGCAGATCACACCGCCTTGATCCAGAAAACGCGTGCTCAAATTACTAAGTGCGCTAAATCCATTTCCTCTCAATACAAACTCAAACCATCAAACATACACCCTCAAACTCAGATCATCACATCCACTCAACCTAGAATACCACCGACATGCCGATCACTGGACATCCTGTACATCCCACCGGCACCCAGGTCGTAGCTCACTTAGAACGCCTTGCTGCTGCCGCGGGAGCAAACGGTCTTCACACTCCCAGCCACACGCAAAACACGAGTCACACGCAAAACATGAGTGCCCTCACCCAACGTGCCAGTACTAATACTACTGAGGTGCCATCGACTGCCACAGCCAAGCCTCCTCGCAAACGCAACAAGACCAAGGGTAAAAACAAACGCAACAAACGCAAGCGAGGAGACAATGGCTCCGGTTCCGAAACCGAAGATGAGCCAATATTTGACCCAGCCAATTTGAAAAACTCCGACAAGACCGCGCTTCAGCTTCGTTACTTAGCAGAGAAGCATTCCACGTCGGGAATGTCAGATGAAATACTCGAGTCTGTACTTGACTTCCATGAAGAAATGCAAACTTTGATTGCAATCAAAGCCCTCGAACTTGGTACCACTGTCTCGGCCATCGAAGCAGTTTTGTAAGAGATCAACTCATCTATCTGTACGATGTTGTACAATACACTGACAAAATGGCTTATTCTTATCATTAGTGGAAAGTATATTGGCGTTCGTCGCCCTTTGCGATGGAACCGACTCTTACAAAGCCCAAGAGCCAGGGCCATATTCAAAGAAGGTGTGTGAAGTATGGGACAATACCAGCAATCCTTACACTGACATCTATTTTGAAATAGCTCGCGGGATTGGTAGCGGCGAAGGCATGAGACAACTGAGTGCGGTGTGGAAAAGCATGACCGAAGCCGAAAAGGATGTCTACAAGGAGGCCACCCAAGAGACCGATCCGGCCAGCCTTCAAGCTATGGACGAAGACCTAGCAAGCCTGGAAGTTGGGGCTTGCTCTCGAGACCAACTACTACAATACCGCAAGCGCTCCACAAATTATTGTGGTTGCGTTGCGTTTTTGAGGACCGCAATGGCCCCGCAAGATATTGCGGTTTCAGCGCACCGCAATCCGGGCCAGAAAACCCCGGGTCCTCAAAACCCGCAACGAAATATCGGTTCACTCCGATATATTGCGGATATTGCGCAGTGAAACCCTTGTACCAGGGGGCTGTGTACAGGAGTCACTGTCGCCCAACCACTCCTCCACTCGAATCACCTCAAATCGTCCTATTATGGAAAGAAGTGGCGCTTGGATCTATCAAACACCGGAAGACGACTCCTGGAGCCCCTGGACAAGACCTCCCCTGCGGCTGACATGTGGTTCACCTTTGATACGAGTTTTTCATAAGAGGTATGCCCGTTTCTCCGTAGCATCTTTTCCTCGATCGCACTTTCCTGATATTACACTCATCTCATCTTCCCTTTTCTTTCTTACATTGATCACCATGGCCCCCCCAAAAACCTCTCAAAGTACGCTTCAGGTTCCGGGTACGTCCTGCACTAGAACCCTTCGCCCGGCAAGCCCTTCTCGTAAGCAGCCGGGCTTCATCATCACTCCAAACGACTCTCGGACAGCTCTTACTCGACCATCTAGTCCTGCCACGGATGAATTACCTGGAACCCTTTCTCATCGACCTGCTTCGCCTCGACCCTTGGCCGATAAAAACCCCAAACCCGTTTCCAAAGGAAAGGTAAGCCAAATCTCTTCTTTTTTGATTATTGGCCGATGTTCGAAGAGTGATCAGCTGACAGTCGATATCTTTACTCCATGCAGACTCGATCCTCGGCTAGCAAGCGTGCGCGGTCACCTTCAGCTACTTCATCGGCTGGAACACCCCAATCATCGAAGAGATCAAAGACTAAAGCGGATGTAAGTTGTATATCTTTTGATTGTTGTTTTTTCATTTTCTCTCTTCCACTTTTTATCTATTCTCTTCCCATATTTCAGGATATTGATAATGCTTGAAATGTTTGTTCAGGTCTATGAGGTACCAGATGGTGTCGATGTGGATCAAGAGTCTTCTGAAGTCGAGATCATCAAAAACGATGAACCTGGCTACAATGCATCTCGGTCTCTTGATGTGGATGATCTTAAAAAATATTTTCATCCACCCAAGGTAAGCTTTAATTTTTGTCTCAGTATCTAGGTATTGTCAGCTATACTAAAACATGTTCCTCTTATTCAGGGCCGAACTTACAATTGTCGATTTTGTCACAAAAGTTTCCTAGGCGACAAATCGAAGACATCCTACTTTAACTTACGTGGGCATCGTGATGGTAGCGCTGTACGCCCTGTGTGCAAGCAGCGACATAAAGCTATTGCCGCGGGCTTCAACCTTCCTCCTTCATATAACGACAAGCAGGAGTCCATCAAGAAAAACGACAAAGGAACTCTCTCATCGTTTGTAACTGGGCCACCTTTCACAGTAGAGCTTCTCAACATGCTCTTGGTCTTGTGGATCGTCCGGCACGCGCTTCCTTGGGCCCGATTTGAAGACCCGGGCCTTCGCGCCGCTTTCAATACTGTCAATCAAGGTGCGACTGTCCGTTCGAGAACATGGGCAGCACAGCAATCTGTTGTGCTGTACTCTTCTTTGCGCCATCAAGCAATTACCAGTGTTAAAGTAAGTCAATATCTATCTTTAATTAATTGTTTGTTCATTCAGTATGTAACCCAAATATGAAACTGATTGTTTTGAAACTGCCGATTATTTGAATAGGAAAACCAGGGAAAGTTTTGTTTGATCCACGATGTGTGGACTACCAAAGGCAACCGGTATGCCTTCATTGGTGCCACCGCTAACTACATCGACGATGATTGGAACTACAGATCGACACACCTGACGCTCAAGAGGGTCGCGTGGCGACATTATGGGGCTCTCTTGGCAAGACCTATCGGACGTTTCTTGATACGTCAAGGTCTTCACAAAAAGATAAGTACCAATTTTGTTCATTCTTTCGGCTTTTGATACTTTACACAATTATCCCTAACTTTTTGTTTCTTGTATCTACATGTTAGCGCAGACTACTGACAGTGGCAGCAATAACGGTCCGATGGCTGACAAAATGCGGACGATGTTTGCGGCGGCCAAGGAATCAGTCACTTGGGACAACTCGGCACACCATGTCCGCTGCTATGCCCACAAGCTGAACCTCACAGTTGGGCA